AGCAGGAATTGGTGAGTGGGTAACACTTTGTTTAAACAGAATGCTCATTTGTATGCAATTAGTTGACGTGATTTTTTTCCCCCACTTACGTAAATGTTAAGCAGAAAATCCTTTGGGCGAATGTCTTAATTTCTTTGGGCTGCTATCACAAAAATACCACAGACTGGGGGGCCTAAACCACAGATATTTATTTCTCCTGGTGCTGGAGGCTGGATGTCTGAGGTCCTGCCAAGGGCAGACTTAATGTCTGGTGAGGACTCTGTTCCTGGTTCATAGATGGACGTCTTCTCTCTGTGTCCTCACCTGGTGGGAGAGGCGAGGGAGCTCTCTGGGGTCTCTTTTATAAGGACACTAATCCCATCCATGGGGGCTCCACCCTCATGACCTCGTTACCTCCCAAAGGCCCCACCTCCTGACACCATCACCTTGGAGGATGGGGTTTCAATATATAAATTTTGGGAGGATACACATGTTCAATCCATAAATGCAAAGAACGTTTTAAAATATTCACCTTCATTCCTTGGAACACGCACCGTATTTTCTCAATCTAATGATGACATGAGCTAATAAACTAGTGATTTGAAAGGAAAGTGATTTGAAAGGAAAGGACCTATTGGAAAAATAAAATCCACCATGGATCACATGTCCATTTCTTTTTGAAAGATGTTTTGATTTCAGTAATATTAAGATAAAGAGAGTGCCTGAGAATTAAGGACACAGAATAGCATGTTGATCATAATTTAACATTATTCTTTTTATTTGAAGGGGGTGGGAGCCCCGCCACCAGGATTGTCATCATGTGGTGAACTCTCAGGGTACAGCCCTAAGGCTGTAAGACCAGACCCGTGGGGGTTTATGTTTGCACTGGCCATGCCTGTCCTCTGGCAATTGCTTCTTTCCTTGTGACCTTGTACCTAAGTTCAGGTAACTTGTGCCTGATGGGCTTGGTGTCCTGGTGGGAGACTGGGATTCACAGTCATCATCTTCATGTAGGTGGCAGACTATGAGTGACAATTAAGGTATCACCCTAAAAAGCTATGCTTGGTACCCACGATGCCCACATCAGACAGCTCTGTGTACAGCCTCCTCTAGTGCACCCTGGGGACACTGGTAGGGACAGATACATCTCAAGGATTCTCCAGTAAAAACTACCTCCAGAGCCTGTTAAATTGGTTACATACATATTTTCCCATCAAAAGAGTCCAACGTACATGTGATGCTGTGAATGGAACGTGTGTCCTTCATATGCGGAAGCCCTGACCGTCAGTAGGATGATGTTAGGAGGTAGAGCCTTTGGGAGGTGGTTGGGTTTTGATGAGGTCATGAGGGTGGGGACCCCATGATGGAATCAGCATCCTTATAACAAGAGGAAGAGATCAGAGCTCTCTCTTCGTCGTGTGAGGACACGTAGAGAAGGTGGCCTCCTGCAAGCCAGGAAGAGAACATCACCAGGAATTAATGTGTCCACGTCATGATCTCAGACTCCCAGCCTCCAGGACTGTGGGAAATGAGGGTGTTGTTTAAGCCGCCCCGTCTGGCATGTTGTTATTGGCAGCCTGAGTGGACAAACACAAAGTGAGAAAGACACGTAAATGCATTGATGTGAAGTTTCAGCTGGAGAGGAGACTTCAAAATCATTCAGTGTTATTGTCCTGGAGTTGCTGTGATGTATGATCACAAACAAGGGGCTTAAAACATTGCATATTCATCCTCCCCTATTCCTGGGGACCAGACGTCTGAGGTCAGGGTGTCCCAGGGCCGCGCTCCCTCCAGAGGCTCCAGGGAGGGTCCTTCCCGCCTCTTCCAGCTCTGGGGGCTCCAGGCGTCCCTGGGCTCGTGGCCGCAGCCCTCGCGTCTCTGCCTCTGTCTTCCCGGGGCTTCTCCTCTGTGTCTGTGTCTCTCCTCTTCTGTCTCTTAGAAGGACCCTGTCATTGGATTTAGGGTCCATCTGGATAATCCAGGGTAAGGTATTAAACATCTTGAGATGTTTAATCACATCTGCAAAGACTTTGCCATATAAGGTCACATTCACAGGTTAGGGGATTAGAAAGTGAGCATTTGGGGGCTATTATTCAGCTGGTCACACCCACCTTCTGGTTCCTATAGGCTCTGTCCTTTATGGATTGATTCCTGGGAAGTGTCTCCGCATCTCTCAGGCCCTCCATCAGCTCGAGCCCCCGCAGATCAGCAAGCTGCTCACGTCTTTACCAGGGACCCTTTCTCTTTTAAACTCTGGGGAACTATATCATGCATGGCTACTGTCTCTTCGACCTCTTGTGTGTTTAACCCCAAGTAGCTCTGCCTGCCTTCTGTCATGAATTGGAACCACGGCCCGAGGGAGGACTCGATATTTGACAGTGGTTAACTGGTTCCTGGAGTTTTCAGGACCCACTGCAGTGTCTGATCTGGAGATGCCTCGATGGTCCACATGGCATCATACCTCCAGCTCCAAAATGGTCAGCTCCCGGCGTGAACCCCAAATGTGCCACCTCCCAGCTATGAGAGAGTGGGCAAATCACCGTGCCACGCCTCACTTCCTCCATCTCTGAAAGAGGGATTATCATTCTACAAACTACAGTTATTGAGTGGCTTCCAATAAATAATAAAAGGGAAGAGCTCTGGAATTTAGTCGGCACGTACGTTTAGGGGACCCACTGCAGCCCAGGCACATGTCAGGCAGTTTCAGGGACTCAAGTGTCATCGTTTCCAGGACACACACGTTTGCAACAGCACTGGTCACAGTAGCTAAAATGTGGAAGCAAGTCCATCGATGAATGATTAGATAAACAGGATGGGGTATATCTATACAGTGGGATGTGACTCAGCCATGAAAAGGAAGGACTTTCTGACACCTGCTACAACGTGGATGAACCCCGAGCACATGATGCTCGGTGAAATAAGCCAGAGAGGCAAGGATAACTCCTGTAGAATTCCACTCATCATTCAGGTGATTCCTGAATTCACCAGAAGTAGGGTGGTGGTGCTAAGGGGTAGGAGAGGGGGACGGAGATTTAGGATGCAATGGGCACAGAGTTTCAGTCTGGGGCAATGATAAAGTTCTGGAGAAAGATGGTGGGGATGGTGGCATGTGAATGGACTTAATGCCACTCAACTGTGCACTTAAAAAAGGCGAAGGTGGTAAATTGTATGTTGTGTTGTTTTATCACAGTTAAAAATTACCAGGGGGGAAAAGCATGCATTCCAGGAGAGGGAGAAAGATAACAAAAGTGGAACCTAGTTCATCCATGAGACAACCCAGGCACTGTTGAGAATTCTTAAGGGCATCAAATAGGGAAAGTGACCAGTGGCCGGGGGTAGTGGTGGGGTGGGGTGTGCCTAAGAAAGCACACTGGTGTTGAGACAGCGTAGAGGGGGTGGCGTCGAGGGCAGGCAGGCTCTGGGCAGGGCAGAGCCCCAGGGCCATCGCGGAGACATGGAGCTCATTTTAAGGGAAATTTGGGGACTGTGCCTGGTGTTGATTTGTGCAGCTTTGGGGGCATTTTCCAAAACACTTGTCATTCCTTCTCTTTCTAACAGGGCAAGTCTGGGCCACATCCCACAGATTGGTAAAACTGGGTCATGACAGGTGGTTCCCTGACCGGCAGGTAGGGTTTTGTTTAAGGTAAAACCAGCTTATATCTAGGGCATGGTCCTCACAATTGGACCTTTCTATACGATTGAATACATAGGACATAAGACGTGGTTGCCTTAAACATTAATTTGTATTCCTTCTGCAGGCTGGGATGGGGAGAGGAAAAAAGTGTAGACCTGCAGTATTTGGAGCAGAATGTGCGTTTAATGAAAGAGAATCGTCCTGGACTACCTCTTCAGCGAGGGGAGAGCGGGGAGGTGGGCATGTGTCCACGTGTGGTGGATGAGTCACCGTGATGCATGTGTGCAGAAGTGTTCCTGGATCACAGCCCCATTTATTCAATTAAGGTGGCAGGTGAAGCTCGCAGGAATAAAGGATCATTTTTTATGCTGTTTACACATTAGGGGGTCTCTGGGGACTACTTACATGGGGGTTATAAATGCATCAGGCACGGCGTATAACCTCGGATGATTGGAGTGTTTCTGAGCAGACGTGGGTTAATTG